TGTGTCCAAGAAAGAATCCAGGACTTTCCTACAGCAATCCACTGAGCTGGGCACAACCAACTCTAAGGCTACGTTCACACTAGCGCTGTGTGCAGGCGGCAGAGAGGCGTTTGGGAAGCATTTTTACCGCTTCCCAAACGCCTCTGCCAATTCTGCACATTACAGCACATGGTGCTGTTCTAACGGGAGTGTTTGCGTTGCGTCGCGTTGCGGCAAAACGGACGCCTCTGGACGAGTCTGGAGGCGTTGAAGCCTCCTATTCTCGTCTATGGTGCCGCTCCGCAAACGCCCGGCCGGCGTTTGCGGTGCAGTTGTGACGCGGCTGCAGGGCGTTTGCGGAGCCCCCCGCGGTAACACCACTCAAACTGCATTATAGGCGTTTGTGGGGCGTTAATAACGCTCGGCAAACGCCTAGCAACCGCCGCTAAACCGCGCATGCGGCGTTTGCGGAGCATTTGCGGAGCGTTAAAAAACGCTCCGCAAACGCCGGACCAACGCTTGCCAAACGCTATAGGGGCGTTTGGCAAGCGTTGGCAAAACAGCCAAGTGTGAACGAGCCCTTAAGGGAGTCTATTCCACATTTTCACTGCTCTTACTGGGAAGAAACCTTTCCGTGTTTGGAGATTAAATTTCTTTCCTCCAGACGTAAAGAGCGCCCCCCTTTCCTCTGTGTTGAACTCAGGGTGAATAGCTCTACACCGAGCGGTTCGCATGAACGGGGTGCGATTCTGATGCGGTGCGGAATTTGAACAGAACATGCTGCGAATTCCGCACCGCATCAGTGTGAACCCGGGCTTAAGTATAACGTTTTGCAAAATGATTTAGCAGACATTGATTTCCCTAAGACCCAATAAGGTTTCAATTATGAAGACGAGTGCATAAGACAAAGACTGGTTTCCCAACAATCACCAATCAAAAGCCAGCTTGTTACCAACTACAAAACAAGCATGCTATCAGACACCTAGCATTAAAGCAAGATGGATCGTTCATGCATTCAAGGTAGAACTGAGCAAAGACGCAATTTAGGAGGTAGGGGTTTTCCAGTTTTGCGAAAAAGAGAAAAAAAAAAAAAAAAACATTATATTTGTTTTCGGCTGCTGATTAGCAACAAAAAAAAAAATTCAACATCCCCACCACCCACCAAGTCAATGGCTCGCCAAGCGGCCAGGGCTGCCAGAGGCCAGTAACGTTGCTGGGCTTTGCCTGGACATTAAAGTCCACCTTCAGGATCCGACTAGTTTCCAGTCCAGCTGGTGACATGCAGACTTAGGATGATGAAATCCAAGGGAGCAAGGTCACAAAGCAGAACACTGTTGTGATTAGACCCCGGGGAAAGCAGCCTTTTCCAAACTCATCTGACGTGTACTAGGTCTATGGTGTCTTAGCGAACAGGTTCAGCTTCCCTATGCTACTTTTTGGCACAAGAACAGAGGCTTCCATCAGAATTACACAGGTGTTTGGCTCTGTGCAAGATTCTGTTTTAAATCCATTTATTCAATAAAACAAAACATGATTTTTTTTCACATAAATAAGCTTTCTTCAACAACCACATTGGCGGATGAATTTACAAAGCTTGCTCCATTATAATGGCACAGGAAACTGGCCGGACTGACCTGTGCCACATTCACAAAGCAGACAGACCATATTCAGGTCTAGGTGCTCCATTGGCGCCAATTTCTATTTCAGAGTATAAAAGGAACTGGCACAGGTACCGCACTGAATAATCTAAGGCATTGCAGCAGATTTCATGAAAGAAAACTGCTGCAAATCCTCTCCAGATTGGACCTGGGGTACAGGATGTGTGAACTGTCTTCCCAGTAAACTGGTAGATAGATTATTATATTATTATTATACTGATTTATGGCGCCAACAGTTTGCTCAGCGCTTTACAATATAACGGGAGACAATACAGCAACAATGCAGTTCAATACAAGAGGGATAGGAGGGCCCTGATCCTGGGAGCTTACAATCTAAGAGGGAGGGGCTGATCCTGGGAGCTTACAATCTAGGATAGATGTACAAGTACACAAACAACTTCTTCAGCGCTCAAAAGCAAAGCAGAGATAGTATTCCTCCGGGATGGTGGTTAGGTGGTGCAACCCTCCTCAGACAGGGGGTTCAAAACGCAAAATGAAAGAGAACACACAGGGGGGCGCAAACACCTAGCGCATTACCCAAGATTTATTGAAAGAAATCAACAAAAGAGAAATGCATACTCACAAACATCAAAAGGTAAAGAGCATGACACGAATGACTGATGGTCAACCAACGTTGTGGGTTCCCAACTGCTGGGAGTGTTGGCAAACTGATGCATTTCGGGGACGAGCTCCCAAAACACATCAGCTTTGATGTTTGTAAGTATGCATTTGGCTTTTGTTGACTTCTTTCAATAAATCTGGGGTAAAGCGCAAGGTGTTTGCGCCCCCTGTGTTATCTTCAACTGGCAGATAGCTCACAGGCATCTTTCTGCCCGTACAGTGAACACACCACACGAGCAGAGCCTGAATGTCAAGCTCTCCTGCTCTCTATGCCATGTCTGGCTTAGACACTGCATAGAAAACTCAGCTTTTCACTCCTGATTACCAGAAGATATAGGTGTGTAAGTACCTAATTACACAAAAACATTCACAGTACACAAGCTCCTGTCAAGCAAAATAGTAAGAAAAAGGTCCATTTGTGGCTCTGGGTAGGTTATAAGAGTCCTGCAGCTACTGTGAAAATGAATCTTCTGTCCTATCCGTCAGCACATGTGGAGAGGCAAAAACAGCAAGAGTGCCGGCATCAGTAAAACCAACAATCATTTATTGAAAAATAGCATCACACCCATGCAAAATGCCTGTGTTGAGCCCAGGGCCGAGAGGGAATACAGCAGCGGCCAAAGGAAGCCAAAACGCGTTGTCACCCACTGTCTTCCCCTGTGACAGACCACTTGGTTGAGAGGTGCACTGGTTACAGCTGTAGGCGCCTGTCAGCTGTGGAGTGGGTCCTGCATTACAGTACCGAGGCTTACCGACCATCTGTGCTTCTTCCACTGGCTGCTGCTGTATTCCCTCCCAGTGTCACGGTCAGGGGTTCAGAGACCAGTAGCTTTAGAAGAAGAGAAGCTTCCGCCGACCAGCTGGGTAGGTGCAGCAGCTGAGCACCAGAGTTCCTGATGGTGGAGATGGGTTTTGCTCCATGTTGGTGGACCTCAGGATGGGCCCAACAGGAGGAGTCCAGTAGCAGATATAGCAGGTAGAGATCAACCAGAAGCATAGTCAGTAAACAAGTCAAAGGTCAGTGGCAGCAGGTTGGGATCAAGCAGAAGTGTAGTCGAGGAACAAGCCAAGGTTGGTGACGAGTAGTAGTGGAGAGATAAGGACAGGCGCACGTACGCAAAGGAGCAAGATATTGGTTGGCGAGAGAACAATAATCTGGCAAACAGGAAGCTCATGGGAGGAGGGAAGGGTTCAAGGTTAAAAAGGAACAAGGCAAGGTTATCCAAATAATCTGACAAGGAACTGGCTCAGCAAGAAGAGACACCACCAGACACAGCAGAGGTTGCAGGTTCAGACCTGGGTCTTGACACCCGGCACCCTGAGCTCAAAGCAGTCTTTTTACATGCGAGTGATGCTTTTTTTTCCCCATAAATAGATGGAAGGTTTTACTGATGCCTGCGCCTTTGCTGTTTTATTGCCTCTCCACATGTGCTCACTCATAATTAACAAAGGAACTTTTTTCTCAGTTCAGAAGAGTGGCCTAGTCTTTATGCCTGCGCCACTCTTCGTGAACATCCCTCATTATTGTTGTATTTTCATTTATATACCGTACGGACAAAAGTTCACGGACATATCACCATTGCAACTATATTAAAGCGGAGCTCCACCCAAAAAGGAAAGTTCCACATTAAGACTTTGTCCCGCGCTTCCCATTAAGGATTGGCACCTTTGGGGAGCGGGTACCTGAATTTGACAGGTACCCGCTCCCACTTCCGCTGCGATCGCCTCGGCGATCAGAAGCAGAAGTTGTCCTCCCTCCCTGTAGTCTTCTGGGACACGTGACAGGTCCCAGAATACTACAGAACCATTCACAAAGCGCATCGCTTCTCGCGCATGCGCAGTGGGCACCCGGCTGTGAAGCCGCAAGCTGGTTCCACAAACATACAGCCGGGTGCCCACACTGAAGAGAGAGAAGACGGCCGGCGAAACCAGCCATGGTGAGGACACCGCTGGACCAAGGAACATGTAAGTAGTTGTATTTTAAAAGTCAGCAGCTACGGTTTTTGAAGCTGCTGACTTTTATTTATTTTTTTGGAGGAACTCCGTTTTAAGCTTTTTGGATATGTCATTCCACAACCAGGACCATTAATATCTAATCACCCCCTTTTGCAGCTATAACAGCCTCCACTCCTCTTTGAAGATCTTAACCTCCCTAGTGGTCTGATTATGTCCAAATTTCTGTGCTCAAAGCGGTACATTTTTTTGCATGGAAACATGTTGTTTTTTTTATTGTATGCCTGTCATTTTTAGGAATAACTCACTGAAATCTGTCCGAACAAGAGTCTAGTAAACATCCCGGGTATGTTACAATTTGAAACACGAAATCAAAAATTATAATTTAATAAATAATCATAAAATATAATAATATAATAATACATTTAATTCAATAATGTAATCAAACCAAAAACACTGACATTTGAAATATAGCATTTGAAGTTTGCACATCACAGAGCAGTAGCAGAATCGTTTTCAGTGTCTGATGAGGAATTTTCCCCACGAATCATTATCACTCAATTCTGCAAGTGGTTCTGATTTACTATCGCTGTTCTCTAGCCGCTCTAAAACTGCTTTTGACCTAAAGGGATGCTTTTTGGACGCCATGGACATTTCTCAGTTTCCAGGCAAAAAGAACAGTAAAAATGCAGGCAGGGCGCCGGACAAAGCACTCGGGACAAAATGTATGTGAAATGGTTTGATACAGGAATGTTTTACTATGTGATTTTAGTGTATTCAGTGAATGTCACTTTTAGTCATTTTCAAATTTCCCGCCAGTTCCGTCCCCCGTACCCCTCGACGCTCGCAGGGGACAGAACTCAGAGGACAGATGCCGGCATCCGCCGGAGGACATTGCCGGGGACACTGCAGGAGGGACATCGCGGGAGAGCAGGACAAGGTAAGTGAAGAACAGATCCCGGAGCAGCGCCGCATGGTAACCCTGAGTGTAGCTCGGGGGGGGGGGGGGGGGGGGGGTTACAGCTTTTGGTACTGAAACTTTACCCCGAGCTACACTCGGGAATACCTCCAGGGAGGTAAACAAGATTCTGGAGTATGTTTGTGGTAACCTGTGCGCATTTAGCCATAAAAGCCTTTGTGAGGGCAGGTTCTCCCAAAAGAGATGTCACTCTGATTTGTTCTAGGGACTGCAGCAGAGAGATTTTTGTATCACAGTCCAGGGATTTATTCCCTTGTCTCCTCCATAAAAGAAAAAAAATGCAAATCCAGTAGAGACATTGGGTCCCACACATTTCTCCACCCCATTCCCTCACAAAAATCATAACAACACTTTACAAAATATATCCACCTGAACACAACCCACTAAAAAATAAATGCCAATTTTGTGTGGCGTGAGCCCTTTGATTTGCTCATCTCCTAGTCTCCTCGTTATCTTCATATCAGCCTCTCCGGTTGCTCTAATGCACATAGGACTATCTTCAATCAATAAAAGGTGAGAGATAAAGCCAAAGAAGTGTATTTGTTCAGAGTAACAATTTTACAGAGGGGCAGACAACAATGCAGAAATCCTGTGAGTGCGTATGCCAAAGGGTGGAAACAATGCCTCCACCTGCAGATGTGTTTGTGAACCTCCCCAGTTATATGTAGTAGTTAAGTGATACAATCTCGTGTGTCAGATATGTGTTGACATGTAGCTAAGAGTTCGATGTCACTGCACCTGCTCGACGGCTCAATGAATCGCTGATATACATGCAAATCTTTCATCTTTCTCATTAACAGGCACAGCACAAGATGGCCCTTATACAGCACACTCTGTGTGCCCTTTGTATGTAGACAATTAGCTGTACACATATACACCAAGGAGGGAGGAAATACTAATAACAATGGTATTCTGTATAGGCCATTACTATGGATTATGCTCCATGGGATCATGTTTAGAAATCAGTGTGCAGAGGGCACTCTAAACCCTAAACTGGGGCAGAAGGCGAGTGGGTGGGAGTAACTGCTAACCCCTTCAAATCTCTGTAAGCAATGATCATTCCTCGAGGCTGAAATTGCTCATTATGAAAGGATAAGTTCACCATTTTTTGCCAAAAATAATAAATGCACATTTTTTTGCAGGTAAAAAAATGTGCATTTCTTTTTTTTTTTTTGGTTGCAGCAGCGATTAGCAGATCTCTGGTGCTATACAGGTCTCCTTCAGATCTGTCAGTATATATGCTTGCCGGTACAGGATGTACAAGTAAGCCGATTTACCAGCAGGGAGATCCAATGAACTACCACAGTGCTCCACAGTGCTGTGGTAGTTCATTGAAAACTACAAGACAACAGCCAGCACGGCTGTCAGGACTTGTAGTTTCTCATTCACAGAAGACTGTGAATGAGTGACACGGCAGGGCAGTCACCCCCCGGAAATGTAACAAATATAAGAAGCGCCACAGAAAATAACAAGATAAATAAAATAAGCAGCACCTCTAACCACACAAGGTGAAATTGTGTATAAATAAAGAGTGCGCTAATTAGTCACAAAAAATGCAAGGATAAATAGTAGAAATAACAAATAAAATCCATAAATATAAACAAAAGTCCAGCCACCATAAACAGTGATAGTCCAATATCAACTTAATGTCAATCTTGAAACAAACACCCGTGTGCGAATCCGACACCAGATGAAATGAATACACTCACCAGCAGGGGCGGACTGACAACTCATGGTGCCCCCCCGGGCAATAGGGGATCATGGGGCCCCTGTGTCCTTGCCCAAACTCAAAAAAGCCTATGAAAAAGGTACCAGGGGCATCTCATGGGGCCCCCTACTGACCCCGGGCCCTCGGGCAGTGCCCGAATTTCCAAATGGTCAGTCCGCCCCTGCTCACCAGAGCTATATGCGGATTAAATTATAAACCAGCATGATAGCATTTTGCTCTGGGAGCGATGATCTGCAGGATATCCCAGTAGATGAACAGCAACCAATAGTGATCCAATCAGCACATATGGAACAGCTAAGCAGCAAACGGTCTTCCAATAACATGGGCAAAGCTCGAGGAATCAGAAGAGATATGATGGTGCAGTACGTTTAAACTAGTAAAATTTTATTAGTAAAGTATAACACTCACAAGGAAGGTGTCCAGCCGACACCAGCAATGACAGCCTCTATAAAAACACATCCACGAGTGAAAAACTAAGGGATGAACCTCCTGCACCACGATCTCACAGCCGACAGCTGGGAGGACCGTCCCGATGTCACGTCCACTAGGCCACACCCAACACGTTTCGTCACTTGACGTCTTCTGTTAAGTTGATATTGGACTATCACTGTTTATGGTGGCTGGACTTATGTTTATATTTATGGATTTTATTTGTTATTTCTAATATTTATCCTTGTACTTTTTGTGAATAATTAGCGCACTCTTTTATTTATACACAATTTTACCCCCGGAATGTGAAGATGGCATATGCAGTAGAAGTGTTCCTGCTTATAGTTCAACCCAAGACCCTATAAAACAGGAGGGCTAAGTACGTATGTCTTTCTTGAAGATTAAGCTCACCTTTCATAACATGTTACACCCATATTAAGGGTGTAACATGTAATATGTTTTGGATGCAACGGCCCCAGCTACCCCCTCTTCCTAGCTTTGACTGCAAACAGGGGAACTCAACCCCCCCACTAGCTGTCAAAAAAACCCATTAGCTCTCCTCTGACACACACAACATGAAAACCTTAAAAAACTGCAATCTGAGTCGCTTGTTTTACAATCTGTTCTTCAGAATTTCTGGAACACTGGGGTAACACACTTCAAGGCTCAGTCCGCCTTTTTGTGGAACACTGGGGTAACAAACTTCAAGGCTCAGTCCGCCTTTTTCTGGAACACTGGGGTAATACACTTCAAGGCTCAGTCCACCTTTTTGTGGAACACTGGGGTAACAAACTTCAAGGCTCAGTCCGCCTTTTTCTGGAACACTGGGGTAACACACTTCAAGGCTCAGTCCGCCTTTTTCTGGAACACTGGGGTAACAAACTTCAAGGCTCAGTCCGCCTTTTTCTGGAACACTGGGGTAACACACTTCAAGGCTCAGTCCGCCTTTTTCTGGAACACTGGGGTAACACACTTCAAGGCTCAGTCCGCCTTTTTCTGGAACACTGGGGTAATGCACTTCAAGGCTCAGTCGGCCTTTTTCTGGAACACTGGGGTAACACACTTCAAGGCTCAGTCTGCCTTTTTCTGGAACACTGGGGTAATGCACTTCAAGGCTCAGTCCGCCTTTTTCTGGAACACTGGGGTAACACACTTCAAGGCTCAGTCAGCCTTTTTCTGGAACACTGGGGTAACACACTTCAAGGCTCAGTCAGCCTTTTTCTGGAACACTGGGGTAACAAACTTCAAGGCTCAGTCCGCCTTTTTCTGGAACACTGGGGTAATGCACTTCAAGGCTCAGTCCGCCTTTTTCTGGAACACTGGGGTAATGCACTTCAAGGCTCAGTCCACCTTTTGCAAAACAACAGTAAATGCAGCAACAATGTTCTTATGATCAATGTGCTTTTACTGCTTCTCTGCATTGAAGCCTGCAGAGCATTGCACCTGCAATCAGTGCCCCGTGGGTGCAATGCATAGGCTCCAGAGTTCACCCCCAACCACAGGTAAGCAAGGAGGTATGTACCTTCTAGTATAGGGATGCGACTGGACTACAACTGCAGTGATGTCACTGTCCTCCTGCCGGCACACTCCGCTAAGTCTCGATGCCGCGTTGGCCAATGGGACTTGTTGTATTTTCCACTGATGGATCCAAGACCTTGATGACATGACGGTGCTGGCCCTGAAGAAAAAAAAAACAACAAGCTACAGCAAGAAGCAAGCCATGATTCAGGTAAATGGGGTGGTGGTTTGGATTTAGGGGGTGGTGTATGTTACTTTACTTCATTTTACATCCAAAACACTGGTGAAACATGAAACAAGGTCTAAAACATGGCATTAGCCTTGAACTTTAGTTTTGTACATATTTTCACACTAATTCAACCAAAGGGTGTCAAATTTAATCAAAGTGCACAAAGTGAGTGTTGTAACCCAAATCCACCAATCAGAAATCATCTGTGTGTTGTAGCATTTTGTCTTTTGGTAAGTAAAACACATATCTGTATGTTGTCCTAGGAAGTGCATTCCATTTAAAGTGGTTCTAAAGGCAGAGGTTTTTTTACCTTAATGCATTCTCTGAATTAAGGTAAAAAAAACATTCTGTTTTCAGTTTCAACCCCTCCAGACCTCCTAATTACTTATCTGAGCCTGATCTCAATCCAACACTGTGCCTGAGAGCAGCGGCTCTCTCCCTCCTCAAAGGACAGTTAGGAAAGAGCGGGAGCCATTGGCTCCTGCTGCAGTTGATCAAATCCTGTGATGAGGGAGTGGGGGGCAGTGCCGAGCTACGTTGTCTGTTTCTATGGACACAGGCATCGCGGCTCAGGATATGGCGGCACAGAAGAGGTAGAATCAGGAGAGCCAGCAGGGGACCAGAAAGGAAAAGGATCAAGGCTGCCCTATGCAAAACCATTGCACAGGGCAGGTAAGTATAACATTGACTATTTAAAAACAAAAATTACCTTCACAATTGTAAAGGTTGTAACAGGGACGGACTGATCATTTGGAAACTCGGCACTGCCTGAGGGCTCGGGGTCAGTAGGGGGCCCCATGAGGTGCCCCTGGTACCTTTTTCATAGGCTTTTTTGAGTTTGGGCAAGGACATAGGGGCCCCATGATCCCCTATTCCCCGGGGGCCCCATGAGTTGTCAGTCCGCCCCTGGGTTGTAAAGGCTCAAAGTTTTTTATCTTCATTCATTCTATGCATGAAGGTAAAAAGAACATCTGTGTGCAGCATCCCCCCAGCCCCCCCTTAAAACTCACCTAAACCCCCTCTTCAGCGATGTGCACTGGAGTCTCGGCTATCTTGGGACTCCTCATTGGCTGAGCCAGAAGCAGACGCCATTGGCTCCCACTGCTGTCAATCACAGCCAGTGAACCAATGAGAAGAGAGAGGGGGTAGGGCCTTGCCGAGGCTACATGTGAATGGACACACGGAGCATCGGGTGCC